AGCAGCAGCAGCAGCTGCTGCTGCTGCTGCTGCTCGCGCTGAGCACTTGCTGCTGCAGCAATTGAGCGGCGCTGGCTGTTGTACTGCAGCGTTCTGCCCCCTGCGCTGCCTGGGGCAGCCCGGATTGGGCTGCGGGGGGCAGGGGCCGCTGCAGCTGCTCCGGGCCGACGCAATTTGAATTTAAAGAAGTAAATTGACAAAATGGATTAAATAAAAATTAATTTTTCAAAAGATCTGGAGAAAGGAGGGGGAAATGCTGCAGCAGCAGCGGCGCTGAGTCCGCCGCCCCGGGGGGCGCCGAGGGGGGAGGCTGGCGGGTGGGGCGGGGGCGCAAAGCGCGCAGCAGATTTTGAATAAAATGGCTTTTTTGGGTTTATTTATTTAAATATTTTCAAATTAATTCAATGGATTTAATTGTTTCTTAGTTGGGGCGGCTGCAGCTGGCGCCGCTGCCCGCGGCTGCGCGGTCAGCCAGCCAGTCCCTCCTTCTGTGGTAGGGGCTGGGGTTGCTGCGCCTAACTGGCCCTTTGCTGCGCCTTTTTTGCCCTTTTTGCTGCTAAATAGCATTTATTGGCATTTCATTAAACTTAGAGATCTTTTTGGCGACTTTTTAAAACCCAAAGTGAGCCCCAGCGGCGGTTCGGTTGCTGTCTGCTGCCCGCGGGTCGCCGGCAATCGGCGTTGGGAGGCTCGGCCTGCGCCCCGTTCTTTTGTCTTCTTTTCTTTTTCTTTAAACTTAAATTAGTTATTTATTTTTAATTAATTTGAAAACTTATTTCACCTTTTAGTTCCTGGCGCGCTGCCCCTTCCCCCGAGGTCCGCAGCTCCTCCCTGCTACTCCGGGTCCTGCTGCACCTCGCCAGCTGCTGCTGCCGCTGCTGCTGCTGCTGCTGCTGCTGCTTGCTGCAGCGCACGCACACCTGAGCCCTCCGTTCTTCGTGGGGTTGAGCTGGGGCTGCCCCATCAGCCCCAGGTGCTGCTGCTGCTGCCCGCGGGAGCAGCAGCAGCTCCAGGTGCAGCACTTTGCGCAGCTTTGTGTGTCTTTGCTGCAGCAGCAAGTTGCAGCTCCGGAGCAGCAAAACGCCAAAGTGCTGCCCCCAAGAGTCTTCTAGCAAGCAGCAGGGGCCCTGAGATCTGACGCAGCTGTGAGCCAGAGCCTAAACGAATATGCCCATCTAAGCTGCTGCTGCTGCTGCAGCGACAGCAGCAGCAGCAGCAGCAGGAGTGTCAGGGGCAAGCCTGCATGGGACTCCGCACTAGACCCCTCAGCCTCTCTTCTGCGGCTGTTCTCTTTGCGGCAGGAGCCACAGTGGCAGCAGCAGCAGCAGCAGCAGCAGCTGCTGCTGCTGCTGCTGCTACAGATGGTCCACCCTCATCGGCAGCAGCAGCAGCTGCTGCTGCTGCTGATGACGGGCTGTCTGCGCCTGCTGTTCCAGTCTGTGTGTATCCTTCCGCGCGAGTGCTTGTGCTCTCTGTCTTTATTTATTTATTTTATTTTATTCTATTTTATTTATTTATTTTATTTATTGATTTATTTATCTATTTAAATTATTCATTTGCTGCTGTTTGTTCTTCAGGCCCCGGCGTCCAAGACCGAGGAGGCATTTGACAGCTTCGCCGTCTGCGCTGAAGACCTCGAGAAGTAAGCACTGCTAGGGTTTAGGGTTTAGGGTTTAGGGTTTAGGGTTTAGGCGTGCTGTTAGGAGGACGCACGCAGACAGTAGGAGGTGTCAACGGTGCAGCAGCTGCAGCTGAGAAGCTGTCATCTTGCTGCTGCTGCTGCTGCTGCTTTATTCCTGCTGCTGCTGCTGCTTTATTCCTGCTGCTGCTGCGTTTGGCTGCAGGCCCCTTGACAATATGACTGAAGCAGTAAGCGCTGTGCTGCCCTGGCTGCTGCTGCTGTTGCTGCTGCTGCTACTGCTGTTGCTGCTGCTGCTGCTGCTTTTACGTTTGCCGCTGCGAACGACGAGTGCTGTTGGGCTGCTGCAAACAAAAGGCCCAGGGTTTAGGGTCTAGGGTTTAGGGTTTAGGGTTTAGGGTTTAGGGCGTTCAGGTCGACGGAAAGGCCGCTGTGGCCACCAAGGCGGAGCTGCAGGCAGCTGCAAAGACACTTGGGATGGGGTACACATACAGTGCTGCTGCTGCTGCTGCTGCTGTGCTGCTGCTGCTGCCGTTGCTGCTGCTGCTGCTGCTGCTGCTGCTGTGCAGGTATTCTTTGTTTGCGGCTGTTGCATTTTTCAGAACGTCAGCTTTCAGGGGTTTGCCCAAGGACGACGAAGCTGCCTATTGCAAAGTCAGTCCAAGGGTTCAGGGTTTAGATTTAGGGTCTAGGGTTTAGGGTTTAGGGTTTAGATATAGGGTTTAGGGTTTGAATTCAGGGTTTATGGTCTAGGGTTTGGGACGTGAGCCTCGAGTAAAACGTTCAGCGCTGCAGCTTCTGTTGGGGTTTACCGTTTAGATCTGGCAGCAAGAGTCTGGGGTTTAGGGTTTAGGGTTTAGGGTTTAGGGTTTGTTAATTCGTGCAGGAGCTCCAGTCCCGCGTCCTCAAGTTCATAGAAAATGCCTCTGGGGAGCATTATGAGTCTTTGCCGCCAGCAGACACAGTGAGGCTGCTGCTGTTGCTGCTGCTGCTGCTGTTGCTGCTGCTGCTGCTTTTGCTGCTGCTGCTGCTGCTCTTGCTGCTGCTCCCGTTCTGCTGTTATTTCCAGCTGGTCCCGTGGTTGCTTGTTTCGCTTGAGTCGCCCTGCAGGCAAGAGGCTGAGGGCGTGGGTTTTAGGGTTTAGGGTTTAGGGTTTAGGGTTTGGGGTTTGTGTGTGCAGCTGGCGGAGGTGAAGAAGGCGGCTGAGGCGAAGAAGGAACTGTCTTCTTTAGACCCTTCGAATATTATTGTGAGTATTTGCTGCTTCATGCGCAAGAAGAAGCTTTTAGGGTTTAGGGTTTAGGATTTAGGGTTTAGGGTTTGGGCTGCTGCGTGCTGGCTGCAGCAAGGAAGGCCCAAGCGCCGCGCCGCCTCTTCTGCTGCGGTGCGTAGAGCAGCAGCAACTTGGACCTAAACCCTAAACCCTAAACCCTAAACCCCAGGCAGTGCGTAGCAGCGCAGTGACTGCAGAGACTCAGGGTCTAGGGTTTAGGGTTTAGGGTTTAGGGTTTAGGGTTTTGCAGGAAGCAATAAAACGGGACATACAGCGAGACCTGGAGCGAGAAGCAGCACAGGCCTCTTCGGAGCCGCAGCCGAAGAAGCCCAAGACGGACGAAGCAGCAGAAGGTGCTGCTGCCAGCAGCAGCAGCAGCAGCAGCAGCAGCAGCGGCAACGCCAGCAGCAGCAGCAGCAAGGACGCAGAGGGCGCCCCAGACACTGAAGAAGAGGAAGAAGAAGAAGAAGAAGACAGCGACAGCGGCAGCTGCAGCGGCAGCGGCAGCAGCAGCAGCAGCGGCAGCGGCTCCGAAGAGAGCGAAGGCAACAGCGAAGAGAGCGAGGCTGGCAGCTCTGAGGAAGCAGAAGAGGAAAAGGACGAAGCCTAAGCAGCAGCAGCAGCAGCAGCAGCAGCAGCAGCAGCAGAACTGCCTCATTAATGGTCTTATATGCAGCATTTGCAAATAGCATTTGGCCTCTTGGCTGCTTCGAAACTGCTGGGGGCCCCCAGGGGGCCCCCAAGGGCACTTTGGTTCTCTTTTAGAGTCTTAGGGGCCCCGTGGGGACCCCCTGGGGGCCCTCCGGGGGCCCTCGGTGGGCCCCTGGGGGCCCCCAGGGGCTTCTTAGGGGCTTCAGGGGCCCCCTAGGAGTTTTGGGGGTCCCTGGGGTGTATGTACAGCTGGTCACGCGAAGTGAATTGAAAGCAACTCGCAGTGACATTTAAAATAAATAAATTAATTAAATAAGTAATTAAATTAGAAAAAAATAAATGATAAATTCTCCTTTTCAACTTATCAACCAATTTGAATCAGCTTGGCCTTCGCACGCCCAGAATGCCGAGCGAAACGGGCGCAGGGCGGCGCGCCTAGGGTTTAGGGTTTAGGGTTTAGGGTTTAGCTGGAGCCCGCAGGGGGCAATTAGCCACACAAGTTCGAATTTAGTTTTTGAGGTTTTGAAGCGTGCCAGCTGTACATACAGTGCATGCGCATGCAGATAGGGACGAATGCAATTGGTTGCATGCGCATGCACTTTATGTACCAATTTGCATGCGCATGCACGTATGTACGAATTTGCATGCGCATGCACTTTATATAGGTATTTGCATGCGCATGCGCTTTACGCAAGTATTTGCATGCGCATGTGCTTTATGTACATATTTGCATGCGCATGCGTTCTATGTACGTATTTGCATGCGCATGCACTTTATATTTGCATGCGTGGGGTCATGCAAGTCCGCGTGTCCATTGGTCTGACCAGCGCTAGTGAGGAGCCGCGGCTAGCTAGCTACACCTAGCTAGCTGCAGCTAGCTAGCTAGCTACAGCTAATTAGCTACAGCTAGCCAGCTACAGCTAGCTAGCTGCGGCCAGCTAGCTGCAGCTAGCTGCAGCGGGCAGCTGTGGTTGTTGGCTGCGGCCGCGCAAAGAGCTCGAATTGGTTATGTTGGCGGTGCCTGTTGGAGCGCTGTGAGGCCCAAATGCGTAAAATATAAATAAATTATTTTTTTGATTTGGTTAAATGCTTATTTCAGCTTAAAGTTTGGCTAATTTCGATGTACAGACGGCGGGTGACCCTGGGTCTTTGGTGGGTTCGGTCCAGTCGACTGCGGCTGCTCCCTTCTTCCCAACAAAAATGAACAACACGGGAAAAAACAAACGAATAATTTAATTTAAATGAATAAATTTAATTTGAAATTAAAATAACAAGCAGGAATTAAGAGAGAGAACGGGCACCAAGCCGACGAGCCCTTGCGACTCCGTTACAGTGTGGGAGGCTGGGGGGCTCTCTTTTGCGCGTTTGAAACGTTAAAGTCTTATTTAAAAGAAAATAAATGCAACAAAAGCTTTATTTGTTTATTTTAAATTCAAATAATAATAAAGTTAGCCGTTTTAGGGACGCAAAAGATGAAAAGGCACGGCGTGAGGCGCCTGGCCACGGCCGGAGTGATCGTACGGGAGAGAAGATAGCGAGACAGCCGCGGGGTGTAGAACCACCGAAATAAAGGCCTTTTCGAAATAAAAACGAAATATTTAATCAAATAAATTAAAATAAAATGAAAAATAAAATTAAAAGGAGAAAAAGAGGGGGGTTTACGCGCAAGATGATCGCAGCTCGCCCGGGGTCACCTGGCAGGGAGCCGCTTGAGTTGAGTGGGGCGATGGACCATCCGTTCGTGCGCATTTTTGGGAGTTTGGAAGCATTCTAGGATTTATTTGAATTGCAAAAAAGAAAAGAATTTGATTTTATGTAATTAGAAGTCCATTTCTTTAGTTTTGGGTGGTTTAATTCGCCATGAGCTGCCAGCGGGCCCCCCGCAGCAGCGAAACGAGGCAAGCTCGTGCGCGCAGAGTGCAGCCGCGGCCCGCGAGAGTTTAGGGTTTAGGGTTTAGGGTTTAGGGTTTGGGCCTCGCCCAGGAGCGCCGCGGCGATGCAAAAGGTGCAGCTCATCCGCCTGGCGATCACTTCAGTTTCGCTGCTGGTCCTGGCCTGTGTCTGCGCGGGCTTGGTCACATACTTCATTCGCAGGGGCTCCGGGGGCCCCAAGGGGGGCCCCTTTGGGGGCCCCGGACAACCCTGTACCCCTTTAAGTCATTTATCTTCGGACCCTCTTCGCAGGAGATGCGCTTTCCCCCTCATTTGCAGTGTACAGACACCTCACGACGCCCTCGGTCAGCCTCCACGCCCTTTCTTACAACACTTTTTAACTTCCACTTTTTCCGAGGCCCTGGGGGCCCCCGGGCCCTGCTCGCTGCCTGGGGGGCCCCCGGGGCCCTCCCAACTGCCTGGGGGCCCCCCAGGGCCCCTGGGGCGGCCCCTTGGCCCTGCAAAGCTCCTGGGGGCCCCCCTGGCCTTGCAAAGGTCTTGGGAGCACCCCTGGTACTGCTAAGGGCCAGGGGGCCCCTGGGGCCCCCCGGGGGCCCCCAGGGGACCCCAGGGGCCCCCAAGGGCCCCCAGGGCTCTTTTGTTCATATTCAGGCAAATGGTATTTTGCGTGAGAAGAGCTGCTGCAGC